TACACACTCACATCCCTCATCTCCACCCCAAGCTCACAGGTTAGAGACAAAAGTCTACGTTTTCCTTCCTGAGAGTGGAAAGCAGATTTAGGTTCTGTCTGCATGTACTCTTTTACTTGCTCATATTTTCTTGTAGAGGAATAAACAATGCACACTTCTGAAGACAGGATGAAAAGAAATGCCACGAGGCTGAGGCTAAGGGGCTGAGATTCTGCCTGTTTGCTCCAAAATTCCAAATGCCCATCTCCTGGGTAACTATGAAAAAAAAATTTAAATAAACAAGAAAAAGCTCAGAGGCTTTTGTTTTGGTGGTTCAAACACAATGGAAATTTATTTCTTGCTTCCATGAGTTTAAAGTGAACTTTCCTGATTGGTGGTGGCTCTCTTCCAAGCATTGACATAGGATGCCAGATTTACTGCTTCTTACAGTTCTGCTGTCTTTAAAAAATTTATTTATTTTTACTGAAGTATAATTGATTTATAAGCTCAGAGCTTTATAAATCAAATCTAAGGTATAATTTACCAACACCTAGAATAAACTTGGTGTAAAATTTGAGGTGTTAACAAAGTTTAAAAAAAAAAAATTAAGGGAATTCCTGGGCACTCCAGTGGTTACAACTCTGCATATCTACTGAAGGGGGCATGAGTTCGACCCCTGTTTGGGGAACTAAGAGCCTGTATGCTGAGTGGGGCAGCCAGAAAAAAAAAATCCTTTTAAAGGATGAAATAATAAAAAAAAAACTCACCACATTTTCTAAAAACATGGTCAACCATAGGATTAAGGCAATCACATATAGTCTAATCCAGGCCAAATATCTGCTTTTACCTAAATTACTTATCTCTTTGATTATCATCAAGGGTCACTGCCCCAGTTTTCAACCTGGCCTGGTTTATGAATACTGTGGGAATAAGGCTAAGCCTAAAGAATCTAGCTTCCACACAAGCCAAAAATGGAAGAAAAAAAAAAAATCATTGAACTCTTTCTTATAGGAAAGAAAAGTCCCAAGTATATATATGACAATTTACCAGTAACAAAAAAACAGTACTTGAACTACTAAGACATTTTAGAGTAAACAGACAATTAAGATTACAAACTCTTAAACCATATAATGAAATTATGACAGAAACACACAATCAGAGGTTCTTCTTGGAAGGCTTCAGAAGTTCACAGTCACAGCTGCCAGCATTAGGGGCAGAGGACCTGTGATTGATGCATAATCTTAATAAGAACTCTTACTAGCATTACCTTCCTCTTTTTTAATTCAAAAGAAAACCGGTGGCTCTCCTTTACCTCCTTTATGGAAAATATTTTTACTTGTTTATTTTTAATTGTAGTCCATTGTCTGAGGCTTTAAGGAACCTGATGTTCTCAGAGGAAAACAACCAAGCATTAGGAAGCTACAAACTGACAGCCTCAAACCCCTCCAGTGGTCCCCCTGCCTGGAACAGCATGACCTTTCCACTGCGAACTCTTCAAGAACACCACTGACCCCTTGTATTTCAGGTCCCTTCAGCAGCTCAGTCTCTCCGCTTCGCTGTTAGTGTGAACAGGGAGAGGGGCTTTCAAAAAGAGAGTGAGGGTGTCAAAAGGCCATACCTAGTAGAGCCATATTTCTAACCTGCTTTTTGCAACTTAATGAAAATACTAAATACTAGTTTCCCCAGTTTAATTCCAAGGCCACACAGACTGGAAGCAATTACAGCTTGTTCATGGGGGTCTGTGGGAATGCTGACAGTTTAAATTTACATATTAATGCTGAAAAACATTTTGAGAAGCAAAGAGTGTTTTTTGGTCTTGGTAATGACTAGAATAAGAAAAAAATGGACAGGAATGTCATTGAAAAGCTCCAGGCAAAAAGGTCCAGTTTTATTTTTGCTGTAATAGTTTCAAACTATCCACCATTCCCTGCAATAAGACACTCTTCTAATGGTGGATTTAGTCAGTCTTTTATTTTGCCTAAGATGATCGTTCTTTGGCTGACTGTCTTCAATAAAAGGCCTAACAACCAAAGTTAGAAATCCATCTGTTCCAACTCCAACTCGTTCCTGGGGACAACTCATTCTACTGCTTGATTTCTTCTTCTACCACCCACCTAGAATACCTAACTTAACCACTCACCGGTTTAAAAAAAAAGCAAAACATTGAAATAGAAATTGTTTCAAATTATATTTCCTTAAACAGCCAGGTTGCACACTTGATCACTGGGATTTACTTCTGTGGCAACCCCAGTTCTTTGACAAATGCACGTATTCTTTTCATTAAAATATTAGCTTAACCCAAAGATGTCAAACAGCCACCCTAGCATTAGTCATTGCAGTCTGAGACCTCCCAAGAGGTCTAAAAAACCAGAAGATTAAATACAGCAAAATATGAATATAAACATAGTTTACAAGTCATTTAATAACTACAGAGACTTTTCAAAGTATTCACTTTTCAAATTATTCTAAACTGACACCAAATTTGTGAAACAAAATATATCATATGGCCCTTGAAAAAACTGTTAAATGATAGATTAGCTCCAATGTAAAATATCTTTCTATATTAACAAAGAGAGGGCAATGCACAGTAATCCTATGTAGTGGGTAGCTCCCACTCAACTGAAGAGAAAATGACACTCAAAAAGATTAAGTAACCTACCAAAGGTCACATGGCCCTGACTGACAGTGTCTTGCTAGGCACTGCAAACCTGGCCACTCTGAAAGGAAGATTAATTTTAAATTGAGTAGTAGTCATTACTTACAAAATGAATACATTACTGCGATTAATGACAAAACATTTCACTTAGGTTAGTCTTACAGAAAGTTTAAGGGAAACCAAAGTTTAAGGACTCCAGATTCATTTAGGCCCCTTTCAAATATAAAATACTTCCAATTTTTCTTGTCCTACTACTACTGAAAGGGAAGGGGAAATATTGCTACGAATTAAAAAAAAAACCAAAACAGCAGTTCTGTTCCTAGGTACATACCCAAAAGAAGTGAAAGTAGGTATTTAAACAAATACTTATGCATTAATGTTCATAGTAGTAGTAATTTAGTTGCTAAGTCGTGTCCAACTCTTGCAACCTCACAGACTGTAGCCTGCCAGGCTCCTCTGTCCATGGGATTCTCCAGACAAGAATATTGGAGTGGGTTGCCATTTCCTTCTCCAGGGGATTTTCCTGACCCAGGAATTGAACCCAGGTCTCCTGCACTGCAGGCAGATTCTGAGCTGAGCTAGCAGCAGCACTATTCCAAATGCCAAAAAGTGGGAAAAAAACAAATGTCCATCAAGAGATAAATGGATAAACACAATGTGGTATCCATGCAAGGGAGTATTTTCAGCCATTAAAAATGAATGAAGCACTGATACATACTACAATGTGGATTAACCTCTAAAATAGTATGCTCAGTGAAAGAGGCCAGACACAAAAGGTCCCATATTATATAATACCATTTATACCAAATGTCCAGAATAGGTAAATTCACAGAGCTAGAAAGTGGATGAGTGGTTGCTGGAGGACTGGAAAGAGGAGTGAGTGACTGCTTAGTAAGGATGGGGGCTCCCTCGGAGGTGATGAAAATGTTTTGGACCAGATAACGGTGATCACCACACAGCACTGTGAGTGTACTGGACTGTACACTTTAAAATGGTGAATTTTATGTCATGTGAATTTCACTTCAGTTAAAAAGAACACACAGAATAATGAAATAATGATGACTGACCGCAAAGCTCTGAACAAATAGCAGGTAATCTGCTTTTCCTTAGTTTGTCACAATTTAATGAGCTTTGGATCATCATAAACCAATACACAAAAAATTACCCATTACAAGTTCCAAATAAGGCATTAATACAGCTGAGTTCCCCTAATTTGTCCAGTTGGCAGAGCACCTAGGAGATTTTACAGTATACAAGAAGCTTTAAACATTGTAAGAATGTTTTTAATTTTTAAAAGAAAAAGAATATTGAGAAAAACATATAAGAATATAAAGTGGCCAGAGCCTGGGAAACAAGCTGACATACATACATATGCAAAAATCTACATATCTGAGCGTGCAGAGAGACTAAACACTCAGTAGAGAAACTGGCTACTCCTTGGAACTTATTTTGCATTTCTCCAAAAATTGAAGAGTAAATAGTAGTTTACGGTCACCACCCTCTGGGTTTCAGCAAAGAGGTCACACACAGGGAGGGCCTCAAGCTGCCACTTCCAATTGCTTCCCTGGTGAAACAACACAGGAGGTTAAGTTACCTCAGGAGACTCGCAACAGGGCTCCCATTGTTCCAAGCTCAAAACTCAGAGACACAATGGGCACCATTCATACAGAGAGCTTACAGGCTGGAGAATGGTCCCTCAGTGACAACTTATTGGGACACTGAATGTTCATAAACATAGACTACATAGACTTTACAAATATGTCTTAATTATTTTTTAAAAGTAGCACAAAGTAAACAAATAAAACTTAATGGACATTACACTGACAGGACACCCAAGTCTTATCCCCAGCTCTGTCTCTAGTAAGATTTCAAACAAGTCACTTGCTCTTTCTGAGCCTCATTTTCCTTATATGTAAAATGAAAATGATTTCTAAGATCACTTAGAACTCTAAAATGCTATGAACATATATGAGGTCCATTGATGTTGCTACATTATTTACTCCAACAAGTGGGGATAAATTATGAGCAGAAAAGAACTGTCACTTCACATATTTTCATTTACTATCAGCACTTAAGAACAGGGAGGTTTAATAAAAACAGGCAGAGACACTGTTTTCTCTTAAACAAACTATAATGAACAAGGTCCATGAGGCCTTCCATCCCAACAAGGCGAGAATCACTCGCATATTTCTAAGCACAATGACAAAGGGCATAAACAAAAGCCGTAAGTTTTTCTGTCACCTTTTCTTAGGTTATGAATACATTTCATGAATCTCTTGATTTCTCTGCCATAACTCAAACTCCTCAGAAGAAAAATACCATTTACAATAAGAATGTGATCATTGTCTCAAGCTTTCACACCATATCATTTTTTCGTTTTTTCAACCTCAAAACTTGCCAGAGCAAGAACTTTGTCTCCAGAGCCTAAGGAGAAAGACACATAATAAACAAAGATGTCATTTCAAGTGCATTTACAGTTCCAGGTAAAGAGAGGAAAACCTATCACACAGATACTAAAATAGGAAATAAAATGAGCTTCTATTATTGGTGCATTATCCTTAAACCTTCCCACTGCCATCCCAATTTCCTTCCCCTGCACAAACAACTCAGCTACACAGGCGATTTATTGGTTACAGACACTCTAATTCAGGTATGAAATAGAAGGTGTAAAATCTTAATTTACTTTTGTATTTACATTTAGCTGACAAATATTTTTAAAACATTAGGCTATACTAATTTGATTATTTTTAATTTGAAAGTATTGGGAAATAAACCCATTAAAAGAGGTTTATAGAGAAAATAATTCTGGTTTCACTGTTAACTCCAGAAAAGACCATCATTTTATCTCACCCACACCATCTACCAATCTGAAGCAATAATTCATGTCCAGCTTTCAGAAATACAAGAGTACTCACCAAGGTCTGTAGAGACTTTCTCAAACTGGCTGAGAATAGCACCTGCATTTGCTGACAAGAAGTTCTCATCATCTGCAGTCAGCTAAACAAACAAAACAAAGCCCGAAGGACTGAGTTCAGATGTTAACAAGTGGTTCAAGGAACCACTGTTAAGAATGTCGTAGGACCACAAACTAGATCACAGATCAAACAGCTATATACTAGGGACTTCCCTGGCGGTCCACTGGTTAAAGACTCCACGCTTCCACTGCAGGGGGCACAGGTTCTATCCCCAGGAACTAAGATCCCGCAAGCTGAGAAACTGGAGGGGAGGGGGGATTTCTATACCAAACACTTCCCACTTTTTCCTTATACCTAATATATTAAATTAAATACAGATACCTTCTCTCCAAGCTTCCTGAGAGCTGTAAGTATCTCCACTTTCTGTTGAGTATACAGGTCTCTTTCCAGCTTTCCTACCATGAGATCTCTATCCATCTGTAACAGATGAATGCGAAGCATATGGTACTTAAGTTAAAAACATTCTTTGAATAAAATCAAGTTTTTCACATCTACTTCTTTAAGAAAAGATCCTTTACTGATTAATATTATAAAAACTATAGAAACAATTCAAGGTATACATGATAGGAATGTTCTCACACAGTTCTAATATATCTTGGTAATAATCATCACCATGGTTTTAGTTATAAACTCTACTAAGGAATTAGTAGGTCAACAGCTTCCTTTAAAGAGGAGCTATTCTCTAAGAACTCTATTTCATTACACTGAAGCGTGGTCTACAGGCCTGAAAGAGACAACTGGTTACAGATCCCCTGGAACTTTGATTAAATATCACCTCTACCACCAGAAACATGGAGAGCATGTACTATGCCTTGGCACTATTCTATGTACATAGACACACTGGATTAGTAATAGTGCACATACACATATTACTCCATTTAAACCTCGTAACAACCAGAAGAGGTATCTTTACTGCCTTTTTACAAATGGGGAAACAGCAAAAGAGACTGAAGAAAAGAATTCCGCCAACATCACATATGTCCATTAGTAGAGCAGGGGTACAAATTCAGCTGACCTGTCCCAAGTCCATGCTCTTAATCACTAGGCTATTAAATTACCAATGGTTGCATATAACTTATTAACATCTTAATTATATTCATGTCTATAAACAGACTTCCTCAAGTATCAGGTTTATAAAGATGCTTGAAATTCTTAGATAGGGAAGGCCACACACGCAAAAGAGCTGGTGCTGCTAATGAATGCTAGATGCAATTTCAATTCAGAGCTCCAGAACTAAATATTAAAACTTTAAATGTGGCATCTTAGTAGAAGCAGTCAGTAGCGATTTAAACTGCCATATGCTGTTTAAACTTCTGTATTTGTTATCAATAAAGGACTGATTTTGTCAGGAAACTGTGGGTTGTGGCTCTAAAATCAACTGACCAATTTTTTAAAATAAGACCACTTTTTAGAGCAGTTTTAGGTTCACAGTTAATTGAGCAAAAGGTACAGAGATTCCTCATACACCCCTTGCTTTCCCCACTCATGCGCAGTCTGCCCATTATAAACATCCCCTACCACAGTGTACATTTGTTCCAACTGATGAACACTGATATAATCACATCATAATCACCCACAGTCTACACTTTACATTAGGGTTCACTTTTGCTGTTGTACATTTTCAACTGACCAAGTTTTAAACTTCAGAACATCACACTGAGCAAATTCTTGGGCTGAGAAAAGAAATACACAAAATGATTAGATCAACTGAAAGAAACTTTACCTCTGCTAACCTTGTCCGAAGCTGACCTGGTTGTTTCTTTGCAAATAATCTGATGACCTCTGGGGTTTTAAAGGCCTGGCTGATAGCTGCCTGGATAGCCTAGAAATATAAGAAGGTTAAAAAAAAAAAGTTCAACAAATCAAATATTACAATATATGATTGATGGGTCTTCAATTTTTAATAGGTCTTCTTTGCTCATCAAATACTGTTACAACTTTAATTTCAATTTGCCATTTCCATGCAAGTCACTGGAGTAAAACATATAACTAGATGAAGATCTGGAAGCAAATGCTGTTTTATCCATAAGGAGACAGTCCTCTAGAAGTTAAGCCCTCAACAGGGTATATTTTCTATTAATATCTTAAATATACTTACTGAGGAAAAAAAACACAACTAATTGTGTCACCAATGTAAGTAAATTATGCTTACCAGTTGCATTCCACTTAGTTCATCGACCAAAGTCATATTTCCAGACATAATTTTCTTCAGTGAATCATTAAATTCACTTAGTTGCTCCAGAGTTTCCTTTTTGGTTTCTTCATATTCATCTGTATCAAGTTCCTCTCTGAAGTATAATGGACATAATACCAAAAAATATAGAGTATCAAAAGAAAACAAAAAAAACACCAATCAGTATTTATACACCAAGGTTTCAAATACATATTCATACAAAAAATACGCTGGTGGAAAAAAAGGCTGAAAGGAAATATATAAAAAACACATCTAATGGATATGTTCTGATACTAGTGTGGGCATTATCCCACAACACTTATAACCCTGTTTTTGTTTTTGTTTTTTTACCAAAGTGAGGCATACTTAACAAACTACATAATAACTTCCTTTTAGGCAGTCTCTGAATCAATGGTATAACCTTAGACAAGATATTTAACTAGCCAAGTCTCAGTTTATCTATTAGCTGCAGATAATGATAGTACCTTCCTTGCATTAAATGAAATATGAAAAGTTCTTGGTATAAAATAGGTATTTAAAAATAAAATAAAATAAAATAGGTATTTAATAAATAGTTATAATTATCATCATTAACATTGTTCAGTCACTAACTCATGTCCAACTCTTTGCAACCCTATGGACTGCAGCATGCCAGGCTTCCCTCTCCTTCACAATCTCCCAGAGTTTGCTCAAACTCTTATCTATTGAGTTGGTGATACTATCCAATCATCTCACCCTCTGCTTCCCCCTTCTCCTCCCACTCTTAATCTTTCTCAACATCAGGGTCTCTTCCAATGAGTCGGCTCTTCCCATCAGGTGACCAAAGTATTAGAGCTTCAGCTTCAGCATCAGTCCTTCCAGTAAATACTCAGGGTTGATTTCCTTTAGGATTGACTGGTTTGATCTCCTGCTGTCGGACAGCCAGAGTATGTCACTTCCATACAGGTGCTGAGGGAGTTTTGTTACCTACTCTGTGATTCCCTATCAGTGAAAAGGCTAGCTGAAGATTTTTCTGAGTGAGGAAACTCACCCACCATCACCACCACCAGCACAACTGAAATCCAGCCCACCCGCCCCTTCACAGCCGTCAAAACATTAATGGTGGGTAAAATTTTATGTATTTTGAATTACAACAACAATGCAGTACTTGCCATCTGGGTACTCCAAACAAGCCATTTAATAAACATTTACTAGAAAAAGAGCTCCTATATATCAAGTGCCTGCTTTGGGCCAAGCATTAAGTCAGTCTCTTCATCTGTAATGTTTACAACAATCTTCAAGGTTGTTAAAAAGGCAATGAGCAGTCTTAGACCTTTGAGCAGTTAAGGGTGAAAACACACACTAGAAAGTTCAAGTAATACTTTCTCAGCTTGATACCAGGCAAGGCTACTTTAAATACTGAAGACAAGATGGGTGATATTATTTCCATTTCACACTTGAGGAAATGGAAACTCAAGGTGGTTAAGCATTTTGCCCAAGTTCAAACTCACTTTGTAATTAAGCTAAAGACTTTATTTTTTTTTTAAGCTAAAGACTTTAATATCCCAGGCTCTTTAACTCTAAAACCTATACTGAGTTTAGTTGTACAGCAGACAAAGCGCTGTGAAGAACACTACAGGGGAAACCAAAATCACACATAGAACTGCACACACAGAGCTTATAATCTAAGTGTAGAAAAAAACACCATTTTACAGCATAGCAGTATACAATTATACTATTACCTGCATTCCTCCAGGTCTTGTAATTGCTGCATTAGTCTATCCAACTGTTCTTCTAAATTCTGCTTTAATTTGCTTGTCTCTGTCTTTCCTCTGGAAGCCATTTTAATCTCTAAGTAGAACAATAAACCCACAGGCAGTACTGGTTATTTGAAATGATTCAATATAGCAGTGCAATTTAACCTAGATTATACTCTGAGCTACAGGTGTGGGGAAGATAGCTGTGCAAAGAAGCATAAAAGTTTAAATCCATATAGTAGTAACACCCCACAAAAATGCCTGGCAATCTTAATTGACTTGACAAATTAATTGGAAGTTTTAACTATTGATCTATCTTACTAAACAAATTTGATAGACAAAAATACAGATTCACAAGGAAACAGATCAGGTATGCCTCTGTTCTACAAGATTCATTTTAACATTCTTTTTCACTCTTAATAAGTACACTCCAGGACTAAGAGTGTATTATCTTGTTGACCTTTATGTACATTTACCCAATGATTTGTAGGCAGGAACAACTTTTGATAAGAATTTCTTCTCTGGAAATACCCATTTTTCTATGGGATTATCTTTCTCTTACTGATTCATATAATATGGATATAAAGTCTTTGTTTTTATGTTGCAAATATTACCTCTTGTCTCCTAATTTTAAATTTTACTTATGGTATTTTTTTGTTATGGTAAATTATTATTTTTAATGGATAAACTTATCTTCTCTATGTCTTCTTAGTTTTGTGTCCCATGAAAGCAGGCTCTAACCATACAAGATTTTCAAATATATACTATTTTGTATTTTGTGGGGAGGGGCAGAGGGGTCTGTGCCACAGAGCTTGCAAGATCTTAGCTCCCCAACCAGGGACTGAACCTGAGCCCTGGCAGTGAAAGCACTGAGTCCTAAGCACTGGGCCACCAGGAATTCCCAAAAATATACTATTTTGTATTCTAAGACTTTTATAGATTTTTTTTTACATTGAGCTCTTTAACCACCCAGTTATTTTTTCTTAGTGCTGTAAAATAAGGATCTTTAATTTTCTTTCAAATGGATAACTAACTGCTCCAAAACTGTTTTACCGGTATTTATTTATCACCTTTGAGACGCAATAAAAACAGACTCTGTTTCATTGACAATATTCCGGTCCTAAGGCATTACTTTGCTATTTTATTTATTATAGCTTTAAAGCTGGTGTACACAGACAACTGATAAGAAGTTACCTTTATTATTGCGGGGTTTTTCCTCCAAATTCTTGGCTATTCTTGTACATTTTCTCTTCTGAATAAATTTAAGAATCAGTTTGACAACTAGTTCCCAAAATTCAATTGAAATTTTGACAAGAGTTACATTAAAATTAATATGGATAAAACCTGAATCCTTGAAATTTGAATCTTTTTTTTAAAATGTTTTTTTATTTACTTATTTGTTTGTACCAGGTCTTAGCTGTGGCATGCGGGATCTAGTTCCCTGACCAGGGATTGAACCCAGGCCCCCTGCACTGGGAGCAAGGAGTCTTAACCACTGAACCATGAGGGAAGTCCCTGAGTCTTTCAATTAAGCAATGTATCTCTCCAATTACCTAGGCTTTCTTTCAAGGTCTTTAGTTAAAAAAAGTATTACTCACAAAGGCTTTGAATACTAGCTGTTCTTAGATATTCTGTATTTTTTGTTAATATTGGAAATAGTGATTTTGTTATTACAATTTCTTTTTTTAAGTATTTATTTATTTGGCTGTGCCAGGTCGTTGTTGCAGCATGTGAGATCTAGTTCCCCAACCAGGGATTGAACTCAGGGCCTCTGCATTGTGAATGCAGAGTCTTAGCCACTGGACCACCAAGGAAGTCCCTGTTATTACAATTTCTAATTATTGCTAAGGTATAGAAAAGTTCCTGATTTGGTATATTGATATTGTATGCATTTACCTTAACATTTATAGTGTTTTGAGTTTTTCCATTTACAGAAATTACACTCACATTCATTTTAGGAAACATTACTATTTGGTATATTCATCAAAACTTAAATCCTAGGGTAAATTTTTGGTTTCTCTGGTGGCTCAGCTGGTAAAGAATCAATCCATGGGAAGACCCAGTGGAGAAGGGAACAGCTACCCACTCCAGTATTCTGGCCAGGAGAATTCCATGGACTGTATAGTCCATGGGGTTGCAAAGAGTTGGACAGGACTGAGCGACTTTCACTTTCTTTCTTTCAGGGTAACTTTTGAAAGCATTTAAAATTTTCCTACACATAGTCATTTTTAAGTGATTCCACATGCGAACTTTAATGGAGATTCCTTATATGATATTCAAAATAGAATGCAATTAGTGAAAATCTAGACTTACTACTGCATCTTTTATCTTTTTTTTACTGTATTTTAAAAAATTGGCTTAAATCATCTACAATCATGAATAATATGTAAACATAAATGAGCTACATTATAGCCAGAAGTGTAATTTATTATAGCTTAGTTCATGTATAATAGATTAGCCAGAAAGTAACTTACTATAACTATGTTTCATATATAATTTCTCCTGGAAATACACATTGAAATTTTATTTTAAATCTGTTGAATTTTTCAGTGTAAGTCAAGAGAAACCTAATGTAAAATAAAGTGTCTTTTCAGGCTTAATTTCCTACAGTCTAATCACACTGGACTACTGCTGTTTCAAAGCATATCATGCACTTTCATCTTTCTCTTTTGAGCCTGTATTTTTTTTTTCTACTTATCAAGGCCAAGTCATTCATTCTTCAAGGTCAAATTTCACCTTCTCCACACTGCCTTCCTTGGTTCCCTCCCAGTCACTAGATTGTGAGTTGTTTTGAGAATAGGGGTTTTACATTTTCTTTACACACCACCAACTAGCACAGTGCTCGGCAGACAGAAAGTACTGGATAAATAACAGGTAAATGAATAATGAGAATTGACTGCTTTATCCACTGCATTCTACATCTTAGTCTCTACTTAACACTATATCTGCCTTGAATTATACGTGATTTCATTATAGCCTGTTGTTTGTCTGTCTTCCTCTCCAGACTGTAAACTGAGAGCAGAAATTTGAGTCTGATTCCTTTCTTAGACTCTTCAGCACTTTAATACAGACTACTGATAGTCAATAACTGAATGAACTGTATAAAGGCACAACATATTTTAAGGAGGTAAGGGTATTTTAAAACAATTTCAGGGCAGGTAGAAACTCTTTAAAAACCCTACCCTGATGCTACATTATTTGAGATTTACCTCAGAAAGATTAACTCGCGGGCACCACCTAGTATTCAATAAAGGTGGTGCACCTTTTACCAAAACTGCAAAATTACTCTCAAAAATTAATCTGGAGAGGAAGGTACTCACTCACGCTCACCTGTCTCTTAGTACTCTTAACTCTGCTCAGTGCTGACCGGTCTCAAACGGCATAAACAACCAATTCTTGAAGTTCCAAGTGTCTTAAACTTGAGGAAAGCGAAACTTCTCATCAGGACTAAAACAGGCTCAAAGTTCAAACCACCTAGGGGTGGAGTTGTCTGGGAAAAAGGAAACGATTAACGAGTGGTTTTATTTACTATATATAAACGTGGCCTAAAGCAGTCCCGAAAACTCCACTTAGGCAGCCAGAGAATGTAACACAACCTCTCTTTCGAGGAAGACTTCAAATGGGCGGTAGGCGGTTGGAGGAGGGAGGAGAAACCCATTTTCTCTCGACTGTCTCCGGCAGTCGTCCTCAGGTTTTTCTGAAGTCGAGGGGGTGACAGAGGAGAACCCCGCACCCGGACCTGCCTTGAGGGAAGCTGTCAAACCCAGCAGCACGGAAACAGTACAGGTGGGGCGCACAAGTTTTCCCGCCTGAAAATGAGCAGCATCCGGACCTAAAGCATTCGGACGCGGTAAGGGAGCAGCTCTGGTCACGGCCCCAAATCCCACTTCACACCGGGGAACTTGAAGCTCCCACATTTGGGTCTTGCGGCGGCCGGCTCGACTAGGCCCGGCTGCCACCAGAGGTCGCCGGGAATCCGCTGTCCCCAAAACTCTTCCGGCTCTTCCCAGACCAGAAATCAAACTACCTCCTAAAGACCCTCGAGGTCCCCTCTCCACCGCCGCCTACCCGAAGGTTCCAGAGTTAGGAGCCAGGGGCCCCGCCTACCTGAGGGGCCCAGCTCAGCGGACGCGTGCATGAGGAGCACTTCAGTCAGACGCACGCACTTCCGGTTTCCCGGAGCCAATGTGGGTGCGGCCGCGGGTGTTACCCTCATTAGCGTTCGGGTTGTAGAGCGTCTCCCGGAGGACTCGGGCCGCTCTGCCTTGAGGACGTGGTGAGGACGTGGTAAGTCCCCACAGGGAGCCCCTGAGAATCCGTCTCTGGCCGAGGCAGCCCAGGATTCCTTTTCAAAGCCCCTAGCACAGATGAGTCCAAGATTTTGGGCTCATTGAGGGTCAAATACAACTGTCCCTGAAGCGAGATCACATTCAAGTTTGGGACAAGGAGTCTTGCCCCTTCATTTTTTCAGCTTCTCTCCGTGGAACCAAAACCCTCGGTAAATTTCCCTTTGGCCTTTGGAACAGGTGACTTAACCCTGAAAAAAACAAAATTCTTTTCTAGAAGCTTCTTGGGCTTGGTGGAAGCGAGGCGAGGGGGGCGCTTCACTTTTTTCTGAACTCCTTCCTTCCAAATCTGTAAAAGACCTTCCTGGTAGCGCTTTGATACTCACTCATTTTGAGAAGACTATTAGCTGTTGGCAACATTCTTAAAAGTTACTCAGAAATTAGGTGAAAACCGTCTTCAGATGTTCGCAGCACATATCCTTCAAGTTATTAGTCCACAGGTCAATATCAAGGTTTACGGAGAAATTGTTTCTCCGGTTTTGTCTTTAAAGATAATTTTGTTTCAGCCACGCAGGATAAACTTCCAAGATTACCATAGAACTCCACCAAAATCAATTATCTGTCCGATCATAGAATTTTTTACTTATCACAGTAAGTTGTCTTTCCAGGGTTACAGTTTGTATGTGAAACCACTGTTCCAAGTTCAACTTAGAAAAGACTGTTGACACACAAGTTGGAATGGTTCCAATAGCCTACTTTGCAAAACGCTTTGGATTCACAGAACTTGCGTTGTAAAAGTA